CACAGCACTGCTCGCACAGGGCTAAGCCAAGGCACTGGGCTCAGGGTAGAGAAAGCTACACCAAAACCGGACTGAAGGATCTCATAGCTTGGTGCTCCATCTGGGTTATTCGAGGATGAGGACGAAGGCATTGTGATGCTGTCCCACTTCTTTTCCCTCTAGTGCTGCTGACCCTCTTAAGTGCACGCGCTGGCACCGTGGGACGAGCAGGGATGAGCCCTATCCTGTTTGAAGTATTATAATCCTTTCAGATGGCATTAGCGCCTGGGCCAGCAACAGCTCTATAATTGAACCTCCAGTTTGCAGGGGCCCCGCGCTTCAGTGAGACCTCTAAATCTCATTTGTGTAATGCCTGGTTGCAATTCCTGCTGAAAGATTGCCCTGTGCCTCCAGTGCCCCCGAGCCTGCTGAGCACAAAGACGTCCTCRCTGGCACAGGAGTGACAGAGCGTGACTGGGTGGCAGCATGCTGCATGGCATCTGAGTTTCCAGAGCTTTCACATGTTTATTGGAGCTTTTGATAGGCTGATGTAATTTTTTATTTCCCCCTCTCCTCCTGTTTTTTAATGCCTGAGTCCCAGGGAATGGGCTCAGTGGCTATTGATCGGTCAGGGATTACGTAGGGATGAGATTTTCCAGGGAAAGCTGGGGGTGTGAGGGGAATCGATGTAGACGCACATTTGGCTGCTGCCAGACTCCTTTGGGATCGTCTTTGCACCTGCATAGGCAAAACCCCTTTTCTGGCCAAATGGGTTCCTGGAAAACTGTCAGCTCTGCCAGCCCCTTTCCTCTTGAAGGAATGCTCACGACCCTGGTCTGATTCACGCTGGTCTAAAGGCAGAACTCAGCAGCCCCGAAAGGAAAATGGSTTTTATTTTAGCAAAGGCTTAAGTTCTCAATTTTAAAACAGTACCACRAAAGAAGAAAGTGAATCAGAATGTGCCTTTGGCTCTCACCGCCCACTCCCTGTCTTGCTGGGCAGCTGGAGGCTGGCCCTGGGGACCGGTGTGACCTGCCCGTCTCCAGTCACTGCTGGCTCCTCTTGGGCCAGGCTTTTCACCTGGAATGCCCTTTCACTGTGAGGCAGCCTCTGGGTGGCCCAAGTGCTGTCACAAGGTGCCAGTTCCCTGTCCAGTGTCCTGGCCTGGGCTCCTGTGCCAGGGAGGGGTGCTGGGGCTGCCTGCCGGAGCCGAGCATCCCGCAGGGACACCGCGGGCCCGCAGCAGCAGCCGGCGAGGCTGCTTGTTCTTGCTTGCTGCTCCAGCAATCCCTGCTGTACTGTAATCACACAATTATTATGCCATTAAAATGTCATATTCGCAGAAATCCACATAAACAAGGCATTAGCAGTTGCCAGAAAATTGTAGTTTTACTGCTAATGACCCATTTTCCCCCCGCAGCACCACTCCTTTTTTTCTTAAATATTATTTTTCCCCTTCTTTCTTTCTTTCTTTTTTTTGTTTTGTTTTGTTTTGTTTCTGAGCTGTGATTTAAGAGGYAGATGACGAATTACATCTTTGCACTGAGAGGCTTTTAATCTTTAATGTACAGTTACAGTGAAAAGCTGCCTGTGTACTTGCTCTGGGCTGTGTGCCCTGAGCATACAAGGTTGATGGGTGGTTTGGGAGGAGGTGCCTTTAGTGGGTCATTTTTTGGGGGGTGCTTTACTGAAATAGCAGAGAGGGCTGTTGGTGAGCCTGCTCTTGGCTGGGTGCTGATGTGAGAGGGAAGCTTCTCTCCAAAGGTTTTGTCTGTGTCTTTTTGTGGGTGTACCCCTTGTTGATCACTCCTGGGGACCCCCAGTGAGTGTTGGAAGAGGGCAACACGTGTTTGCCTAGCACAGGCAGCCMCCCCTTGGATGTATTTTTCTTCTCTTTCCTTCAGACCACTGAGTCTCTGGAACTGTTTTAAGCGTTGACTGTGTTTCCTATAATTAATACCAGTCATTAAACTGCWGTGTTGAAAGAGAAATTACCTAATTCGAAGAAAAAAAATGAAAATTTATTACTAGTACGTGAGAGAAAATGAAGGAAACTTGGAGAGATGAGCCCTGTAGAAGATAAATAGAAAGGCAAGTGGAGTATTGACTTGATCCTTTTCTAGTGCAGGGTAATTTGGCCTCTAAAGTGAGTTAGATCATAATAAATTAAATTTAGATTTCTGCACATCAGTTAAATAACTCCCAAGACAGAATTCTGGTGTGAGGAGGAGGTGATAATACATGGCGAAAATATTATAATGAAGACCTTATCTGGTAACCTGTAACCAATGTGCTGTCCCTGGGTGAGCAAAGGGGATTTCTCCTGATGCTTTAACTCTCATTCTTTGTCTCAGGTCAGGTGCAGGTGAGAAACAGGTGTCCCTTTGGACAGGTCAGGGAGGTCTTCTGCCTCCCATCGCTTGCACAGCCAGGAGCTTTCCATGCTTTGCTTCTGTGCTTTGTGCAGGTAGGTTTTTGCAGAGGTCRGTGTGCATGTGTGTCTATCCTGCTCCAAATTCAGTTACCCTTTTAAGGAGGCTTGGGATGGAAAGAACATCCAGGTGATGTGGATCGAAAGTGCATGAGCAACCCCTAGTATTTACTTCAGGCTGAGAAAGTGAGCCCAATCCTTGGTCAGTGAGCCCAATCCTTGGTCTTGTTTTGTGGCCAGATAGGGATTAAAATAACTCTTTAATCTCTGTCACACTCTTGATCTCAGGTGTGTATTTAATTGCCCAATATTCAGCAACCATCCCACTGATAGCTTTCCTCAGCCCAAAAAGGAGAGCCTGGATGAATCGAGGTGGGCTGTGTCTTTCAGGTGGAGATTTCATRGGAGTATTGATCAGTCACTGCAGAGTGAGCCAGGGATGCGACCCCTGGWTGCAAAGTGTACCCAGAGTGGGATGAGAAGTGAATACCATGGGGTAAGACACCGGTATTTGTCCATGTATCCATTTACTGCTGGAACCCCACCCTGGTAACAGGACATTARTGGGGTTAGATGGATGCTGGGAAAATGCCATCCCAAATCCTGAAGGACACTGCCATGTGCCCAAGCCATGCTTCTGCTGCCTGGCCAGAGCCTTGCTGCCCTTGCAACAGACATAGAAGCTCCAGTTTTCTYGAGGGAATCCACCAGCCCTCCCACCTGAGCTGTTGGATTCTTGCCCACCTGCACCCTTCTGGCTGATCCAAGGCTGCTGGTTTTAACTGACATTAAAAAAAACTAAACAACATATATACACACACATACCTTACAGCCTTAAGTGCTGTGTGGCCGCYTTTGAAAACCATTTCTCTTCTTATTAAGTTTGATAAAACCAACTTTTATTTTTCTTCACAGCATTAAAATTTAGGGACTGCAGCACCGGCGGTTGTTTTAACAGCGCCAGGCCTCCTGGGGTCATCGTGAAATCTTATAAACATCAGGCTGTCGGTGGCTCCGCGATGCAATCGCCTCACTTTCCCCTGATCTTTTACTGCGGTGCTAAATCATGTTTTCCAAGATGCCTTAGAAAAAAAAACATAAACAGCATTTATCACCCTGTGCACGTCGGCCCTCCCGAAAGTCCGCGGGCGGGTTATGTGCGTCCTCCTCGTAAAACTCCTGCAGGGACCTTACTGGTTTCATAACTTTCTCCCAGCCTTGAATARCTTTCTTCCAGTCCTGAATAATTTTCTCCCGATGTGGCTGGTGACTTGGGGGTTTCTTCTGATCTTCTTGCACTGGGGTAGGTGCTGGAGGAGATGCTGAGATGGCCATGGGGTCACACCAGGGGTGGAAGGATATGACCCTGTAACTGGAAGCCCCTGTATCACTGGAATTTGCTGTTTTTTTGGGAGTGCTTATGTCACCATAACCAGGCCGATGTGGGGGTTCCTGTGGCTGGAGGTGCCTGGCTTGATCCTGTGGTGGTTCACTTGCAGGAGCTAGTRCTCCCTCCTCCCCTGCCTGAGGCTACAGAAAATGCACTGCCAGATGCGAGTAAAATCAATTACGGGGTAAAAATCGCCCTTTTCAAAAGCTTCATTTTGCGTTATTAGCAGGCAAAATCGGCTTTGAGACGGTGTGAGCTGAGGAGGGGAAAAAAAAAAGCAAAGCTGAAGAAAAGATCAATTATTGGATAAGATCACAATTTTCTTTAGGGCTGAGATGTCTGTAAACGTTTGCATCTCTCGGCGTTACAGGTAGGCTGAGATCAAAGGGGTTGTGCTGCTGTAGCGATGAGATCTTATCTCACTGTGTTTTGTGCTGGCTGCCTCCGAYGCTGCCAGAGGATGGTTAAACCTCCTGACAGCACCTGCTGCTGAGGGATGCTTAAACCCCGATGGCACCGARCTGCCAAGAAGTGCTTGAATCCCCGAAGGTTGTTGGAGCTGCTGGGTAACCCCAAAATGCAGCTTCTCCATCCTTCCAGAGTGGTGAGACCACACAGGCATGTGCTTCCCTGCTCCTCTCCCTGCAGTGGGGCTGAAGTCATCAGTGGGAGACTTGTGGTGACAAAGGTGGACTGAAACTGGGCTGGGAGCATGATGGCCCCATTCTTCCTGGGTGTTGTTGCTGGAGCTGGCCCTGAGACTAGGAATGGCTGTGGAAATGTGGGACTACTCCTTTCCTGCCTGAAAGGGTATAGGGTTATGGKGGCAGTGGGTCACGTGATGTAAAATACCCTTTTTTTTTTGGCTGGAGAGAAATTAAAACCCTTACAAAACGTTTGTGGTTTTATATTTCTCCAGACCGTGCTGCTTGAGGGGGGATCCACCAGAGACCTGAATTCGATTTCGTGTTAGTCATTTTAATTCAAATTGGCAGGCTCTCTTTGACGTGGCGTTTTCAGGACCTGGGRACAAAAAATAAACTCTGAAGACCTTATGAGACTCCTTGTCACCTGCTCATGCAACACTTGCCTCTGTTGCAGGGCTGACCGATGTCCGGCAGGGCTTGGGAGGACCTGTGGAGCGGGGTCAGTGTCCTGCGGTCTCTGCTCTCTCTAACGGGGCTGACTTTGTGCGCGCAGGAATCGGACGCGGACTGGGACGACCTTTGGGATCARTTTGAAGAGCGGAGGTACCTGAGTGCCCGGAGGTGGAAGGGCGGCGAGGATCCCTACCGGCTCCATGCCTTTAACCAGCGGGAGAGCGAGAGGATCCCCAGTGACCGCGCTGTCCGCGACACCCGCCATCACAGGTTCTGCCTCCCCCGCTTCCTCCCGATCTTCCTCTCCAAACTTTGTGACGTGGGGGCACAGTCCTGTTCCTCTTCAGGGCCGTGGTTTTGGGATGCAAGCGGGTGCTCTTGGGACTGGGTCTGACTGGGTTGTATTTTGGGATTGAGTCTTTCCCTTTGCTTGATTTCTTGGCGTGTCTGGAAGCCTTAAACTTATTAATTGAAACAGTATAAATTATTCCCGGACCACAGAGAAAGAAAGGAAAGGCCTTTATTTTACCTTCAGAAAAGTACAAGTCTGTGATGGGCAAAGTCTTAGCTGGTGCTGGGAACTCTTGCTCTGCAGATGATGGAATRATGCAAGGGGGATAAAACAACTGTTGAGCATTGACTTTGCCCTGCAGGGAGAAGACTGGGGAATAAGGGATAATTGCTGAGTCAGGAGGCAAGAAGGGTAAGAACTTGTTGGATTGCTAGCTGCTCCAGCACCACTGAGGTTAGAAATATCCTTTGGCAGTCAGAGGACCTTTTGGGAGAGGCAGGGAGGATTGCAGCAACAGTTGCCTTGTCGATGAAGCTGCACCTCCTTGTCAGCATGAGAAGGGTGGGGTGTGAGTTTTGGTGCACCCTTGCTAGCTGAAATCTCAGCTGTAGTCTCCCTCTGGTTGTCTTTCCAAACTCACCAGGGAAGAGCTGCCCTGCATGTTGAAGGTCAGTGGGGTTAATTGTTGATTTGCTGGATGGGGTGATGCAAGGATGTCCCAGTGGTGAAGGAAAAGCACCCAAGGTCCTCTCAGTGCAATATTCCTCCTTGTCTTCTGAGGACGCAGCGTATGCCTGGCCCCTGCTGTCCAGGGGGTGTCCACAGCTGGTGCAGGCTCTTTCCGTGGATCTGTGCCTGGCATTATGTCTCAACTTGCTGGCAAGCAGCTGCCTCTACTACCTTGTCCTGGGAGCCCTTTGGATGAAGTTGTGCTCTGGGGGGAGCTCTGTGCTGGACCCAGCCATGGCTGCCMTGCTGCACTTCGCTCCCAGATCAGGGTGACTCCACTGCTGGCATCTGACCCAACTCTAAATTTCCCCTATTCCAGTTCAAATGCAGCACTTAGGCTGAAATGCTGAAACAGCACCAGTTCCCCAGCCCTGTAGCGAGCAATGTGCTTATTTATTTATTTAGCTTCTTTTTGTCGTAAGGACCAGATGCTCCTTTCTCCGGAGAGGAGCTGTCAGCCCTGACGGACGCCTGTTATAGCTGAGCAGAGAGCGAATGTGCTATTCCTGGAGAGAATTAATGCCAGGGATATTAACCATCTGCCCTACTAAAAGGGAAGATTGACTCGGCTGTCCCTTGCCGTGCCCCCGCTGCGCCATGGCAGCCACCTTATTCCTGGGCGGGCGGATGTGGCGCTGAGTGCTCCTGTGAAAGAAAAGTTCTCATTAAGGGGGAAGTGAGGGCACAGCACGTGGGAGGGGCTGGGGCTAATTTAATTTGTTTCCAATTTCCTTAACCCGGTAATTGGATTCTGATTTATTGAATATGCCTGAAGAACGCTGCGGATGATGCACCATTAGCCGAGCTCTAGAGTGGCCACGCAGGAAATGGGGCTGCTGGGAGATCTGGGGGAGGCAGGCGCTGATGGGGAGGATGGAGGAGGGAGAGGAGCTGGCATTGATGGCTGAGGGAGAGGGGAAGGTGCAGAGCTAAAGATAATCCTTACTTATGGCACAGGTGTCCTGGGAGCTACTGCAGGTGATGCTCAGGCCCTGCYGTGCAACCTGGTCTTGGATTGTCCAGCAGAACCGAGTGGGAAAGCAGGGATAAGGCATGGCCTGCTTGGAGCAGGGAGCAATTTCTGATGGCTGTGCAAGAACATGGAGTCCAGCATGGAGCTGGCTCGATGTCCCTCGTGTGATGGGAAGAGCAGAGTGGTGTGGACMAGGCTGTGTGGGAGAAAGGACACCCCCAGTGCTCATGCTGCATGTCCTACTAGAGGCTGTGTTTACAGGCTTGGTTTCGATGGAAAACCTGGACTAAGCAGCTCAAGCTTCCTTGTTTGATCATGAACCCAGAGAGTTGGAGCTCGATTCTATTCCAGCTGATTTTGGGGCAAGGTACGTCCTGCCATGGACCCCACACTGATGGGTACCACCGTGCCAAGAGGCTCCTGCCCAGCTTGTATGAGGAGTTAAGAGGGCTTTGGAGAGGGTCTCATCCATCACTTCAGCTCATCCCCATTTACAAGCAGGTTCTCCTCCAGACTCTCGGCCAGATGTTGTTGCTCCAAGCATCTTGCTCTGCTCTGTGACCAGGTTTCCAGCGTGTTGGCTTTCCATGCTTTATTGCCTCTGTAGGACATGTGGCAGCACTGAGATGCACAGAGCTGCAGRCCGTGGTAATGCCCAGAGATCCATGCATGGTAGTCCAGATCCCAGGGACAGGCATGTGGGAATCTGCTCCTTACAGCTCCTCTCTGGGGTGTTTTTCATTAGGATGCTTGCAGAAGGTTTCCTGGTGTTTTCTCTGCTGATCCAKCCAAGCATCTGGACTTGCCAGCGATAGCTGAACATACAAAATATGGCAAGGACTGAGCAGCAAGCTCCTTGCCAGGAGGTCATGGAGAGGRCAAATATTTTCAATGGGATGGGATGTGGTGCTGACAGCCAGTTGCTTAGCAATGTTTGCTGGATTGATTTTGTTTTTAAATTGCAGCCAGTGGAATAGTTTCASATGGAGAAGAATCACAGTGTTCCAAGGAATCAGAGCAGGAGAAACAGTGGTGGCTCTCTTTGCCTCTGGTTAGTGTGAACTTCTGCCTGGTTTGTGGTTGATTTGAGCCAGGGTGCTGTCATGCTTTTATGGACTGCCTTGTGTCACTTGGCCTGGGAGATCTCACAGATGGAGCATTGCTCCTGGTGATCCTCTTCGTGCTTTCGTTGGTGTTTCATTGGCGTTTCGTTGCCATGAACTCCATTCCTGGTTGCATGTTGGATCTGGACCACATAAAGGGCTGCTTTTCTTYGGGAGAGAACTTTGGATGGTCCTGTGGTGCTACATCCCATGCTCAYGAAAAGTCAAGGTTAAAAAAGTCCCTGTGACTGCATCAGCAGACTGGACCTGGGCCTTGGTGGCACGGCCACACTGCACACAGCCAGCTCACGCCTCTGGAGTGGGTGGCCAGTCCCCCTCCACCACAGTAGCCACATGCARCTGGGATTACCTCATCCCCACATCCCACTCCTACAACTCCCACCGGCAAACTGCGGGAGCGCGACGGCAGCGAATGAGTCAGTGGCAGGCGTGAGCATGGCGGGGACAGGAGCTGYGCTTTCCAGTATTGCTCAGCACCTCGGAAAGCCCACAGGGAGGACGCGTCGCCCCCAGCCAGCGGGTTTCGTTGGGATGGCTCCTGGGCTTTTTCCATCTGCAGCTCCTGGGGAGGCTGGTGTTGGCCATGGWGGGGCTCCATGTGCTCCTCGGGCTGACCGCTGCCTCCCGGTGCTCTGCTGGGTCTGACAGATGCACTGATGCTGTGGATGTGCCAATGCTGTGGCTGTTGGGCTGGGCTGGGACCAGCCTGAGCGGGGCTGTGCCCTGGCTGAGAGTGGCAGAGCAGAGAGGGGACATGGGGGACAAGGAGAGATGAAAGCCTTCAGCAGACTTCTCTAGCTATTGCAGATGAAGTCAGCCAGCTTCAGCCACCTCGCAGTGTCTGTGTTCCTCTTGCAGTGTCTGTTTTCCTCTCGCAGTGTCTGTTTTCCTCTTGCAGTGTCTGTTTTCCTCTACTTGCCTTGCTTTTTACTTCAGTAGCGCTGAGACGTGTTCAGTAGTGCTGTCTCAAGAGCTGATAAAGCAAGAAGGCCGAGGATGGAGCCCTCTCAAATTCCAGTGTAAGACTCTGCATTTTTGAAGTTCCCTCCTTCCCTGAGTCCTAAGTGTTTTCCAGGAGCTCCTACCTACCTGGACCTACCTGGCTAAAGTTCATTTTTGCAGCTGCTAAGGGAGAGTGTTTGTGTATGTGTGGGTCTGAGAGGGAGAAAGTTGCTAAGATTGAGTTGTGGTTGAAACATGAGTCTGGCAGGGATGTTGCAGGATTGAAGATCAGGTGTCACATTGCCTGCTGAAGGTGAGAGCATCCTGGCAGCCCAGAAGCCAGGTCATGCCAGCTTTTGCCCCCTAAAARAGCTCTGCTCCTACAGTCTGTCCTATTCCCTTTGAGGGGAATGGCAAATGCTCCAAGATTTCCTCCAGATCTCTTCTCTTGAATCCCTGTGCCATCTGGAGAGTGTCCCATGGGTAGGACAGCTGCTTAGGACAGGTTGCTCATATGGACTGTTCATGGAGGGGTGGGAAGATGTAGGGGATGCCTGTGATGTTCCCTGAAGCAGAGAGCTGCTGTCTCGTATTCTCAGGGTCCAGAAATGTCAGGATTTCAGCCATCAAGCAGGAGCATTACACGCCACAGTGCTGTTTTGACCCATTAATTACAGGTTGCATCCTGAGGGTGCAGAGTTTGCACATTCTGTGTTGTGGTGGAGCAGCTGTGGTTGGGGTAGGCAGAAATACCTGGCTGTGCTGTGTGGGGATGGCTGGGAAGAGCAGGTGGTCCTGAGGGTCACCTCTGCTGGGTGTGGTCCCTGTGTACACAGGTACCTGGGGCTGACTGAGGCAATTTGCCCTTCCCCATTCCCTTCCCAACACTGAGAAAGTTGTAAAAACCTTCTTGGGGGTGAGGAGTCAAAAAGTAGAGAAGAGTAGATTTTGACAGCATTTGTGCCTCTGATTTAGCACATTCATGGCACCCTTGGACTTTCTCACGTTGCCTTGTCTTCGTTCAGCTTCCTTTTCCTCTAAACCAAAACCACTTTGAGGTTGTGCTTGAGGTGAACAGCGGGTCTCAGCAGCTACAAATGCGTTTTTTGCCCCACATAGAGATTTAAACATCTTATCTTTCTTTTCTGGTTTCTTGAGAGTCTCCAAAGGAGAAACTTAATGTCTGGAGAATGACATGTGTGGAAAAGCC